ATCCCCACGAGGAATTTCTTATGATTATCTCGATGCTATGGCCTTTTCGTACAATGGAGTGTTGTATTGGTCGGGTCATGATTATGGCTATTTTCTGGTTCTTGGGTTGGATCCGTTCAAGGACAATAGCAGTACTAGCACTAGTAGTGGTAGTAGCAATGGTGGTGATATTATTGATCATAAATGTCGTTTCGTGGTATTTGCTATGCCTGTAGCCGACCATTTTGTAGTTGAGTGCCTAGGTGTGTGTGGAGGGTTGTTGCGGATGCACAGATACCAAAACTCTGTTTGTTTGGGATTTGAAACGACAAGATCATGATTATATGGTCAAGGGAGCTGGCGAATTGTGTTTGAGTAAACACAACGTTTATTCCTTCGACCAAGATATGTATCCGGATGATGCACGAGTTGTTGAGAGGCTATCTTTCGACCCAAATAATGATGATATTTTTTATCTATATGTGGATGCAGATGTTCTAATGTGCAACATTCGTACAAGAAAGTGGTCAAAGATAGTTGAAAAGAGGAAACTCAATAATTTTTATTTCTTCCCATTCGTACTCCCATGGTGGCCAACACCAGTTCCTAGCCTACCACAACATGCCCACCAGCTAGCCCATGGCGGAGAAACTAGCAGCTAGCTGATATATAGGAAGAATTAAAGTAGTAAACTTTTATTTATTGAAGCTGTATTATCATTATATTTAATGTATTTTCAACTAGCAGTGCACTTGTGAAATTTTTTTGCAGGTGACTAGTCAACTGTTCTTCCATGTTATTATAGTGATACATGACCGGATCACTCTGAATTTCGGTTATTATGTGCACCGACTATTTACTAAATCAGAAATTTTCAATTTGTACCTTGAGTTGAGGCTTGAGCAAGTCCACAGCAGCTGAATCTGCAATATTCATGCTTTTGTTTGCAGAAATATCTGAAGATACTATTTTGGGTTTTATGTTTGCTGGTGCATGCAGTTGGCCATGTTCTATTTTGTTTGTGCTTTATTAATTTGTTTTCAGATTGCTGGTGATGTTCCTCTTCAGAATAACAAAGAATATTTTTTGGCTTGTGATGCCCCTGTAATTTGACTTGCATGAAATGATCTATATAAATTTATCAAGTTGTATATTTTCTTTTGGCTGAAGTTTATCAAGTTATATATGCAATGGTATTTCTTACATACTAAATAAAAGTCTAATTTTTACTTTTGTTTGCTCAGATGGGTGCATCATTAAAAGAAGATTTAAGCATACTTTATTTGCTCAAGAGTATCCAGGTAACTACGTACATCATTAAAATTTGGGACTTTCTTTTTCTTATCTTTTAAAAGTCCTGGTTGAATACCACCATACTTTTATTGATTACTTAAAAATTCTAATTGAATACCACTAGATTTATAAGCTTCAAAACAATCTATTAAAATCTTAATTGAATATATTTTCGTTTACAACACAATATATTAGTTTTCAAAAAGAAAAGAAAAGAAAGAAAACACGTTCAGGAAACTTGCAGTGCAACAGCTGCCCAGGCTCCTCCGACTCCATGGCATTGGTAGAGGTTGACCCCTTATCACCTTCGATGCCTCCTTCTGGTACTTCTCTTTAGCTTTTCTGACACTAGGGTCACATATACACTGCCAGCCATGGTTGCCACCTCTCTCTCTCTCTCTCTCTCTCTCTCTCTCTCTCTCTCTCTCTCTATGGATATATTAACGAATCACGATCTGTAACATACTACTGCAAATAAATGAAAAATAATTCGCACAAGTACTGCAATTAAGCCTGCAAATGAAACCAACCACCTGTGTGTGTGAGAGAGGAAAAGAGAGTGAGGGGGTGGCAATTGGCTAGCAGTGCAGTGGCTGGGTTGGGGAGAGAGGTGGTGCCTGCTTGATTGGATTATTTATTTATTTATTTCAATGGTAATAAATACATATAATAGGGTGGAAATTGTTGAGATTTAGTATAATACAAATATGGTGATGTGGACTTATTAAAATTTATTGGATTAATTTCATGGTTAATATTCCTTGAAATGCGTATAAATACACCGATGCTAAATGCAGAAGCTCGGCTGAACTCTTTTTCATAAAAGAATGTCAAAAAATAGAATTGGATCATAGGCCACTCCAATCATACAACCATATACAATGTTAATAAACTCAAAAGTAGCTATCAATATTTTTCTTCTTTGATAAAAATATTTTAAAATTTTGAATTATTTGTCATTTCTTTTATTGTTACTAAAACCAACTTCATGAAAATAATTTACTCCCGGACGTATGTAACTTGCAAGG